CAAGGCAGAGAGGTCAGCTCAGAAGGTTATGACATTCTTTCTTGGGATGCCAAAGGGGTAATCTTGATAGGACTTTCCTGAAGGCTGTGGAAGGATGGGGGACCACTGTTATTGGTAGATATCATCAAGTTGGCTTGGACCCATAGGGACTTTATGCACAACAGAACAAAATGGGAGCTTATTAGGAAGAAGTTTTTTTTTTTTTAAATGGAAACTGCTGTGAGAAAAAAGCTAAGAAAGTTATGCAGAGAAATTTGTCCATCTTAAATAATGCATCTGCTGTTGGGAAATGTTACCCCATCTACCCTCCAACCCTAATTCTGCCCCTGTAGACGTTTTTTATTCCCCAATCTCAAAGAACGTTTCAAACAAACACAGTTTTGACATGGTGTAAATCAAAGAGCAGAGAATTCTTCAGGGAAGGATCAGAAAGACGGAAGCACTGTCTTTGGAAGACTTGGAGACATTCTCAAAAAATTATAGCTTGAGTTTTTGTTTAATAAAGGTTTTATTATTTGTTGCAATATTTTTTACATGTGTATGCAGTCTGTTGATCGTTTGGGGCTTCCTGAAGCCACGTTACTTTAAAACCAGTCGACTCCAGATGCTTCCTACTAACACAGTGCTGTAGAGTCCACTACTATCCAGAGCAAAAGGTAGAGTGCTGAGCTGGATGGACTAATTTTTTCCCTTTTGCGGAGTGAAAGGGAAAATCAAGTTATCAACCTGTCAAGATGTATTTATCAGAGGGTATGGCTAATATAATCACTTTCCACTTGAACAGATTCAGGTTCAAAAGATAGCTTTGGTTATTTCTAAATGAAAAGGAATGATTGAAGTGCCATTACCACTTTCACTCATTTAGGTCGTTATTGTGTAAACTCTTTTCTTTCCCTTGTCATACTTCCACTCAGACCTCCTGCCCTGTACAAGGGAATGCTGCAGTCAGGCTCAGAAGCTGAACTGAAGAAAGAGTGCCACCCTAAAGCACCCTGGGAAATGCCTAACTAGAACAACTCCAGTTACTTCTTTGCTAAACCGTTAATCTCCAAAACCTCATGGATCTTAAAATTAGTTCAGAGATAAAAATTATTGTCAGAAGCACTCCCCAAGTATTCTGGTTTAAAATGTTTCCATGGACTGATCTTCTTTGTATGCCCTATTTAAAGTTGTGGCTTAATTGTGAAGCCCCTGCCCCCCTGCCCCCTGCCCCCGCCGGCCAATTGCTAATAAAAGATTGGTGGTTCAAAAATAGACTTTGGGTCAGGACGTGGCACCCCATCAGACTCAACCGGAAAAGACTCCTAAAGGTCAACAAGCAAACCTGGAACTATTTATAGGCTTTTCTCTTTTTGTCGGTTTTTATTGTTGTTGTTTTGTTTTCTTTGGCTCTGTCTTGTTTGTGTGCTTATTATTGTCTCTGCATGCCTTTCTAGATAAGATACGTGGAATAAACAATCTGGAGGAGAAAACAATGGGACTGACAGTTCTAGAGGGACACAGGAGATGAGGAGGCAGGAGAAAGGAAGGGGGATGTCAACCATCCAGGGACAAGGGAACAAGTGATCTAAAATCAATGGATAGGAGAGTGTAGGATGCCTGGTAGAGCTTGGTCAATGGCAATGTAGCCAAGAGGAATTACTGAAACCTGAATGAATGCTGAACATGATAGTGGGATAAGAGGAAAGTAAAAGGAACTAGAGGAAAGAACTAGGAGGCAAAGGACATTTATGGATGTCTAAATACAGGCATGTACATATGTAAATATATTTATTTATAACCATAGGGGAATCTATCTATGTACATATATTTATATGTTAAGTATTAAGGTAGTAGAACAAACATTGGGCCTCTACTCAAGTACCCCCTCAATGCAAGAACACTTTGTTCTAATAACCCGGCATTCTGTGATGCTCACTTTCCTGACACAATAGCTGAAGACAAAATGGGTGCATAAGCAAATATGGTAAAGAAAGCTGATGGTTCCCAGCTATCAAAAGATATAATGTCTAGGTTCTTAAAGGCTTGAATATAAACAAGTAGCCATCTAGCTCAGAAACAACAAAGTCTACATGGAAGAAGCACACCAGCCTGTGTGATTATGAGGTGTCAATGGGATCAGGTATCAGGCATCAAAGACCCAGAACAAAAGATCATATCAATGTGAATGAGGGGGAGTGCAGAGTGGAGACCCAAAGCCCATCTGTAGACAATTGGACATCCCCTTACAGAAGGGTCACAAGGAAGAGACTTCAGGGTACAGTATAGCACCAATGAAACATTCAACTTTCTCCTAGTTCTTTAATGCTTCCTCCCACCCCCACTATCATGACCCCAATTCTACCTTGCAAATCTGGCTAGACCAGAGCATGTACACTAGTACAGATAAGAGCTGGAAACACTGGGAATCCATGACAGATAAACCCCTCACGACCAATAATGAGAGCAGCAATACCAGGAGGGGAAGGGGAAAGTGGGGGTAGGAAGGGGGAACCGATCTCAATAATCTACATATAACCCCCTCCCAGGAGGGTGGACAACATAAAAGTGGGTGAAGGGAGCATTGATCAGCGTAAGACATGAAAAAATAATAATTTATAAATTATCAAGGGTTCATGAGGGAGGGAGGTTGGGGAAGGGAGGTGGAAAATGAGGAGCTGATACCAAGGGCTCAAGCAGAAAGAAAATGTTTTGAAAATTTGAAAATGATGATGACAACATATGTACAAATGAGCTTGACACAATGGATGTGTGTATGAATTGTGATAAGAGCTGTATGAGCCCCCGATAAAATGATTTAACAAAAGAAACTAGATGGTGCCTGGCTATCAGAAAGAATAGCATAAGGGGTCTTAAAGGCTTGTCTCCAAACAAGCAACCATGTAAGTGAGATGTCAACTGAGTCTACATGAAAGAAGCCCACCAGGCTGTGTGACCCAGGGATCCTATAATCCAAATCAGAAGGGGGGAATTGTTTCAGAGCTTAACTTGTGAATGATGGATATTTGTATGGATTGTACTAAAAGCTGTATGAGCCCCCAATAAAATGATTTTTTAAAAATTATTGGTGGTTCAAACTCTCCCAGCAGCTCCATGGGAAACAGACCTGCCAATCTGCTCCAGTATTGGCTATAGCTTAGAAAACCCTACAGGACATTTCTATTCTGTGCTGTATGGTTGATATGAGTGAATTCAACAGTACCTGGCACCTGTTAGTTACATACTGTGGTGTCAATTTGGGACTTGAAAGGATTAAGAGTGAAAGGGTAGAGTCTAGTCTGTCAATAGGATCCTAGTCAATGAGGCCTCTGTGTGGACATGGCCTTCTCCTGAGAATTCTGGGAACTCCTTTATTTTCCTCCTTGGAGGTGGGAGACACCTCTCTCTCTCTGCTCACTCCCTGAGAAACGCTTTACTGACAAGAAACATGGCACTACACCCTGGGAGCGGAAGAAGGCACATGGACCTACCCTGATGCAACTAGACCTCGCTAGCCGAAGAAACCACATAGAGACCCCTGCCAGCGCTGAGATGCTTACAAAGCCACTGGATCCATAAGACTTCCAACCCACTGGCCTGTGACCCTCCTGCATTCAGCATCTTTTCATGTATTTCATGAGTCTGAAGAGGACTGTATAGATTGATATCAAACATATGGGCTTAGGGACTTGATCTGGACTGGGCTGGGACATTTTCTCAATAAACCTCTTATATACATGAGTGTCTATGAATTTGTTTCTCTAGTCTACCCAGACTAACACACCTGACAACAATAATAAGGTTCCTTACGTGGCTCAATGGTTTGAAATAGACTGCTAAATTAAGAGGTGGTTCAAACCCATGTGCTGATAGCAGGCAAGAGAGGCCCTGAAGATCACAATCAAGACAATCCTCTGGAGCAGTCCTACTCTGTAACACACGAGGTTGCCATGAACTGGAATTGACTCAATCGCAACTAGCAACATTCATATAATTTATTTAAATGGCAGCTGCTTTCTTGATGACATTGCCAGAAAAGAAATGGATTTATATGCCTAAAGCTAATTTGCCTCTACCCAAAGAGTCCACATAATCTTGTTTTAGCGTAATAAGGAATATAATGACATTATTGTGAAGTACAATATTAAAAAGACAAAAGAATGATGCTGACATGTTTTTTTCTTTTATAAGTAGCATTGGTAATATCCCCCGCCCCCCCCTCCAATAGATTAAAATAGGGAATTCTAGATGAGAATAAAAGCAGCCCCTTAGTGAGTGGAGTAGTATGGAGGGACCTTTCAAATTTTCATTTGTATTTTTATCCGGAGTTCACATCAATCCCGCGCAGGTATCTGGGTTCATTTCATATGTCAAAACCAAAGGGGAAGCATGAGCAAGGGCAGCGTTTCTTGCTTTGGATGAGGTCGGCTGAGAGAGATAGTTCCTTTTCTCATACTCTGAACTCCCCTCCGTTTTCTGTTCCTGCATCTCTCCTGCTTGGGGATGACTCCTCCTTTCTGCAGCTCGGAGGATCACAGGCTGATTGAAGAACACAGCGGTTCAGACTCTCGCCTGCGCTCGCTCGGGCTCCCTGTGACAAGCCGGCTGGCTCTTTGCTCTGTGAGCTGGCAGGGCTGGAGTCCACCTGACCTCTGCCTGCCTTGGGATCCAGCTCTGGAACCAAACGCCTCCATCTGACTGCTCTTCAAAGTGAACAGTGTTTGATTACTGCAGGTGACAAGCTGCTTTACTCCACTCCGTCAGAAGGACCCAGAAGGACCGGGCATCCTTGTTTTTCTTTCAATCTACCTGAGGAGCTTTTGTCTGTTTTACTTGACACTTGCTGTGGGAAGATTTGGGGGTTTTGTTTTGGAGTGGGGCTTGGGGGGTTTGTTTCATTGTGTTGGGCTTGTTTTAAATGGAAAGGTTGATTGAAAAGTTTCTTTCATTTTAAATGGAACAAAACTGTTAAATGAGGGTTGAGTGTGGTCTAGGGCAGACTTGCCTGACCATCTCCTTCCTGCAGGAGTAAAACTCAAACTGGAGGCAAACTTGGAAGGAGAAAATGAAATCTGCTTTACAGCGAACAGGTATGCTTTGTTTTGAGAAAATTCACAGACTCCTTGAAAGGGGGAATTAAACACTCCCCACGGACCATGTCTGTGCTTCTCAGCAACTTGTCGACCAATGACTCTAGCCTATGGAAGGAAAACTATAATTCTACGGACTTTTTAAATCCTCCGGGGCCTCTGAATCTCTTCCTTTTCTGCCTGACCTGCTTCATGACTCTGGCCGCGCTGGCGGGCAGCATCTACTCGCTCGTTTCCCTCCTGAAAATGCAGCACCGAACCGTCGTGTCCATGCTGGTGGCGTCCTGGTGTGGGGACGATCTCTTGAGCGTGCTGTCGGTGACCATCTTCATGTTCTTGCGGTGGCCGGACGAGATCCCGGGCTACGTCCAGTCTCTGTGCACCGCCTCGGCCTTGCTGTACACATGCCAGGGCCTCTCGAGCAACTTGAAGGCGACGCTCCTGGTCTCCTATAACTTTTACAGCGTGTACAGGGCGGTGGGGAGCCAGGCGGGCTCCCGGCGGCCGGGCCCGGTGCTGGCGGTGGCTCTGGCCGTGTGGGCAGCCAGCCTGCTGCTCTCGGCGCTGCCCCTGGGCGGCTGGGGCGCCTTCGTGCGCACGCCCTGGGGCTGCGGGGCCGACTGCTCCAGCTCCTACGTGCTGCTGCTCTTCGCCGTGTACGCGGCCGCCTTCGGGCTCCTCGCGGGCCTCGCCGGGCCGCTCGCTCACCAGTTGCTGTGCTCCGACGAGCCGCCCCGGCTCCACGCCAACTACCAGGAAATTTCCCGCGGAGCGTCCACGCCCGGGAGCCCGTCGGCCGCGGGGCGAGTGCTGCCGCTCTGCCCGGAGGATGCCCTGCGCCCGGCGGACGTGCGGGGCTCGCGGGGGCCGGACCTGGGCTCTGCTCCCGCCGCGGGCGCCGGGGCGCGCGGGCCGCTGCACGGCTGCAGGAGTTCGACCGTGAGCGTGGCGCAGAGGCGCTTTGCCTTGATCCTCGCGCTGACCAAAGGCATCCTCTGGCTGCCCATGATGGTAACACGGGCGCGACTGGGGGCGTGCGGCTGGGGACCCGGGGCGCTGGTTTGCAGCCTCCTCCGGGGATGGAGAAGCGCTCGCAGGCAGGCGGCGTCCCGGTGGGGCGGGTTGGCGCCCAAGTCTACGCCCTTCCGGGCTTCTTATTCCCAAATTATGGGGGACGGCGGGGGGCGGGGCCAGGGGGTCCTGGCGCGTTCGAGTTAGTTTCCCTAGGGGACCTAGGCGAAATCGGGGCAGACTGGGAAAAGGAGCGAGGTTTAAAGGTTTAGGGACAGGGGGTGGGGTGGGGTGGGGTGGGGGTGGCCCCTCACTCTTTTGTTCCCTTCTCTCCCGTCCCTTCCGACTGGGCGAGGACACCATCTTCAGCAGGGATCAGATGAAGGGCTGGTGAGGAGATTACACCACGCCTTTTGTTCGGATCTCCAGGCAGCGGACCAGTTAGGGTGGCAGGGTGGAGCTCCTGGGCGGAAGCGAGGGACCCATGCAGGACAAAGGCCATCTGGTATACCAGATGTTGATTCCACCCGCATCTTCTTCCCCAGGTCAGGGGTTGGGTCCCCCACTTGTAGACTGCCTCCCTAGTGGCGACTCGAGGTGATGGGCAGTGAAAACGAACATTGAAAAGGCAAAAACCCCGTCAAACCTTGCGTGGGGACGCAGAGTGACTCCTCCAAGGTCCTAAGAATCCGCCACTGAGGTCCAGAGAGCAGTCCAGGAGCAGGGCTGCAAGTTCTGAGACCAGAAGAGGGCCTGGCAAAGGGAGTGGAGAGGCATGCTTCAGGAGAGTAGGGGTGTGTGTGGGGGGAATAGAAAGTACGGTCTTGAGTTTGGTCTGAAACTCTCTACCCCTTTGCAGATCCACATGGTGGTCCAGCACGTGGTGGGGTTTCAGAGCCTTCCCTTCGAGACACTCAGCTTTCTACTAACCCTGCTGGCCACCACAGTAACCCCAGTGTTTGTCTTGTCCAAACGCTGGACCCACCTGCCCTGTGGCTGCATCATCAACTGCAGGCAAGACTCATCATTCGCAGGTGCATCCGACGAGAAGAAAAGTAAGTCCTCTGCGTGGAAGCCATGTGCACCCAATCAAATACAGTGAAGTGGCTGCCTGAGACAATGTCCAAGGGCAAAGGTGAATGGTCAGTAGCCAGGAGAAATTTAAAAAGTGAAATGATTTTTAGCACCATGTTAGAGTAGGTTTTTGAATGCGGCAGGTTAGTACTTGTGAGTCCAAAAATTATTGCAGATAAGAGACCAGGAGAATAGAATTCATTAAAAACCACAGGAAGTTAATAAAGAATCCTAAATGTTGCAGGACTGCCTCTCTAAACCTGGCGAAGAAAATGAACCTCCATTGCATATACAGTGTTGCTATGAGAAGCCTGAACCCAAACAGAGTTAGCTCAGGTTATATTAAAATGGAAACCAAATCACCCACCATCAAGTCGATTCCAACACACCAGACCTTGGTGTTTTTGAGGTTGTATTATAGCCCATAAGTATGTGATGAAACAGTTAAAAACAAATTATGAGGTTGTTGTTTGTCGTTTTTCAGGATTTTAGAAAGCTTTTCCAGCAAACGATGCTCGTACCTGTGAACAAGCCCAAAGTATACACATCTGCTGTAAAAATTAAAACACAAACACCTCAGTTCCAAGAAGGGACAAAAATGGCAATGCTTGTCAATATATGTCTGTATATGAGTCTATAATTCTATTCACTTTTTTAAAAAGGCATGTGCTAAAGAGCACATCTAGAAAGAGGGTGTGAGACAGGGTAAATTACCAAATTTTCTAGAGTGTATTTTCTTTCCCTGTATTCTAAGACAGGTATGTGAGAAATGACTTGTGTATTTTGACTCTGAAGGGAAAGAGAAGGATATTATCATTTAGTCATTCAACACAAAAAAACAGGATGTTCCACTATTTAAGAAACCTAGGAAGGCATTAGTTGATAATGAATTAACTATTCCATTAGCCATAGAAAATCCATTTCCTAAAATAGGGAAATATGTTACTTTTCAACTACGACACCAACTAAATTAAATGACAGTAGCTCATCACAGGCTCTTTTAATGGTGCAAAACTCTGAAGGACATCACAGTATAGTCTCCAATCAATTCAACAATATGATAACTTCTCAATATTGGATAGTCATGAACTGGGCATTTTCTATGTATTGATGACATACAAAGTTAGTGTGTGCAGATATTTTTCAAATCATCAGAAAATATACATTTTTACTGTTAAGATGCCACATTTTACTGTTGATAAGTGCTAAATTCATCTGTATCTCTAAAATAGTTATAATACTTATAATAATGTAACCTTTGTAATATGATGTGCTTGTAGAGATTACAGTAATAGCAATGACGGTAAGAAAAATTTATGAGTCAGAATTGACTCGATGGTAATTAGTTTGGTGTTTTTGGTTAGTAATGGGTCACACATTGAACTGCTAACCACAAGGGAAACTGTTGGGATCCACCAATCAGGTCCCTGAAGAAAGATGATGCTCTCTGCTCCGGGAGAGATTTTTAAAGTTTCAGTTCTGCTTTGTTCTACAGGATTGCTCTGAGTTGAAATCAACTCAATGACAGTGAATTGTTTATTTTTACAAGCTGATATGACTATTTGTCTAACATTATAATTGGCAAGATGTGACTAAAGGCAAACACTAATTCATGTTTCATGTTGAGCTTTTGGGTAGTGAACTTTTGCTTTTTAGAGCAAATGCAACATTATTTTCACAATTGTGGTCTAAAACCAAACTCGCTGCCATCCAGTTGACTCCAACTCATCCTGACCCTGTAGGAGAGAGGAGACTACCTTTTGGATTCGAAGACTTGAACATCATTATGGGAGTAGAGATCCTGATCAAAATATCCTGAGCTATATTCAGAATATCTTTAAGTTTATTCAAAGTTATTAGTCAATAAAAGATACTGATTGCACACAGTTTTTTAAAAATAAATAATCAGCTTTCCCCTTCACTACCCTCGCACCCCCCCACCCCCACTCCATGGCATGAAGTAGGAATCAAGACTGCTAATGCCTTTGAGGCCTTCCTCCTAGTATTAGTAATTTTGAAATATATAATTTCTCTTGATATCCTATTCTATTCAGCCAGTTATTAGCCAAAGCCATCTTGTGATAATCCTTTGCTATCATACCAGACATGATTCCTAACATTTGCTTCATTTCCTCATCTAGTCATTTACTCACTCACTCACCAAATATTTATTAGGGGAGTGGTCACTCTTTGCCTGGTACAGTAGTTCATGGTCCGTGGCCTGAATTTGGCTCAGAGAAATGGTTTTATGACCCTCACTGTTACTTTTACCCAATTTCAATTTTGTGCCACAGTTTTAGATAAGATTTTACATCAAAATACACACCGGGATGATGTTGAAAAATCTGACCAGTTGAAGGACAGGTTCCTCAAGGCAGCAATTGGCTGCAGTAGAAGGATCTGCTCCATAACTCCCCTTTTGTCGCAGTTTATATGTCTTGTTGTTGGATGCCACCCCAAGTACTGATTTTACCTCACTCGCCCTTGTTTCATAAAAGAAGGCACACATAGTCTTTGTCCTCAAAGAAAAGTCTAACCCCAGTACCATTGTAATTCATTACCTCTCAATCAGAATTTCATCAAAATCTGTCAAAACTTACCTCTACAGTTAAGAAAACTCACTAACTAGAAATGTGTTTCTTGGTTACACTTCACAACTAATGCACTTCCTCAGACCTAAAAACAAAACGTTTGACACATTCTGCTCTTGGGTTGATTAGCAGTAAAGCAATTTCACATAGCTGTTAATAACTATAATCATGGATTTAGTTAGTTTTCGATGCAAATCTGTTTACTGGAGAGATCGTCTTATGAGTTTCCTCTATCGCCTCACTTTTCATATCTCTAAAATAGGACCAATACACTTTTTATTGCGAAGGTTGTTGGTATGCTAAGTGTGGTGATCTATGTGCAGTACCTGGCTCAAGGATGTCTGTCTCTCAATGGTCTCTGTCACAATTCCCTTTTCTTCTCATAGCCAACTTCAGACGGCCTCTTTCTCCTCATGATGTGGAGAGAAATTCGCATTCACACCTCTGCACATGCCTTCAAACATCTTGCTCATTTTTGCTTTATATAATTCATAATTTAAAATAAAGATAATAAAATTTATAGCTATAGAACATCAATTTTAGTTCTGATAACTATACATGTAACAAATAGTTTGACTATTTAACAAATGCAATTCAATGGCATTAGTTATGTCTACTGTATTGTCATATTTTTTAATTTGGTATCACAAAACTAATATTTTATGAAAAAAATTTAATGAACGGAGTTGACAATAGTTTATACACTTTTTTGGAGAAAGGAGAAATTCATCAATAATTAAAACATTATTTCCTCCATTTTCCATGCTGTTAAAATAGGCTCAAAATTCAAATTCCACACTAATGGCTCGAAAAAGTAAGTAGAAATATAATTGAAAGCATGTATAGAAATGAACACATCCATTTTTATTTTTCCATTCTTTAGAATAGAAATTCTTCTTGTTTCTAGTCTGAGTCTGACAATAATAAATACTTCAAATTATGTTTTTCAGACAGAATTGGTTTGTAAATCTTCAATTATGGGAACATTTTGTAATAGAATTAATATAGGAAAGTCATCGGAGTATAAAATAAATCAAAATTTTACTGTTTTCTCCATAGAAGCTATATAAATTTTCATAATTTTATACACCAAGAAAAGCTAACTGTCTGGCTATAAAACACAGAGCTATAAATGGACAAATTTGCCTGAAATGAGCCATGCTTAAGAGATAAAGACTAAAATATTAAATTATATTTGCCATAGCACCTTAATGTAATTTCATACTTAATACATTAAAGTCATCTAGAATTCTTTCTGTCACCGCCTCCTTTGTTATTCTACTAAGACTTCTACCAAATTCTCCAATGAGTAATATTGTATTTAAAATACCATAATATTTTATCTGTTTTAAATAATAAAGCTTTTAAGCATTTCTGCAAAACATGCCTGTAATTAATGAGCTTTATAGACATTTTGTAAAGTGCTTCCACTTCCATTCAATTGGTTCTAAATTTATTAATGTCAGAAATGTATGCATTATATTTTAAAGGCTAAAATGTCTCATAACATAATTTTAAAGTATCAATTTATAAGCCTACAAATATTAGGAATAGTATGCATCAAACTGTTTAAAGAAATTATACCCGGTGGTGATGGTGTTGGCATAATATTAAAGTTATTTGTAAATGTATTTCTAGTAAATTAGAATTTATAAACACTGCATTTTATCTCCAATTTTTTTAAAGATTCAGATTGACAAGCAGACAGAAAAGAGTATTAAAACTGAATGTATCTGAAAGTGTCTTTATCTGTGGTTTAAATATTTAAATTAGAAAAACTACTTTAAAAGCTGAAAGACTCCTTGGGATTTTATGTATTCCAAACCCTTCATTGTACAAATTAGAAAAAAATTAGATCCAGAGTGATGAGATGACTTGATTATGTAGGCCATAATTACTTTGCCTAATTGACAAGAAGCAAGTGAAGGCTGTTTTAACTCATAGTAATCAGGTTGAATGCACTTTCCTATTTGAATTCACTATGTGTATATTCTATTGCTGTTTACATGTATCTCATTAACCATGGAGTTTTGTTTCTGTTTTCACTTAGCCAAGAGAAGCTTTGAATTCAATCTATCATTCCAACGAAGTTATGGAATTTATAAGATATCACGTGAAGATTACTATGAGGATGATGAAAATTTTATACCCTGTCACAGCCGGATGAACTATGATTTTGAAATGACAAAGGACTCTCAGAGAGACACCGGCAATTTCTTCAATGCCATCAAAGTGGAAATCAGCACCACGCCTTCTCCGGACAGCTCCACCCTGAGAGGCATCAACAAATGCACGAATACTGATGTCATGGATCCTAGTCCTGATTCTGGCAAAGACAAAGACATTGACCCACTGTTTTCTGAGAAATCAGGAGGTGATATTAACTGTGAAGAAGCTGCCTTTTTGGAAGGGGCAGAAAGAAGACTTTCTCACGAGGAGAATCAGAAACCGGACCTTTCAGACTGGGAGTGGTGCCGGAGTAAGTCAGAAAGAGCTCCTCGTCAGGTACAGTAAAGTTGTTCTTCCTGTGAAATTAAAAGTGAGACCAATTATGATAGGCACAAAATAATGATCTATTGCTTATTTAATTCGTCATGCCCATTGTTGCATTCATTCCCCTCAGTTAATTTTCATAATTAATTTTCATTATGAAATTTCATAATATTTCAAGGTGTCCCTGGAAGGGCTTTTTAAAAATCCATTATATGTTTTCACTTAAAATCCATACTTTTCAGCAATGACAGAGCTACATGGGATGTTTAAGATGGGTAGGAAGTTCTACTTTAATCTCAAAGCTCTACTTTAATCTGCTTACACTCAAAGGAGCTCCTTAGAAAATATGTTTCAAGACAGTGTACCATTAGGCTTTCCACCCCCACCTTACCTGCTCAAAAAGTGTCCCATTCATCCTCAGGAAAGGTTTCTCTTTTAGAAACAGGAAAATATTTCTATAACCAGCAACTCTCCTGGTGAAATCATAGTAGACCATTTGTACTGGTCCCTCCGACATCCAGCGGGGCTATAGCATCTTACTGTGCCTTTGAGAATAGAAATGGTTTCATACAGTTCACAAAACAAAGAACTTACACCTGAATCTTAACTCATTTTCTTCTAGAATGTTGAGAAATCCTTCTTAATTTATTGAGACTGAACTGTGGCATGGATAGGAGATTATTCCTTCCTTCAAACTCCCATATCTGATCACTAGAGGTGCCCTTGATTTCCATACTACTGATTGAACAGAAGACCAGCCTTTTTCTACAAGATTTAATGAAAATCAGAATTCATATGCACTTCACCTCTAAAATTAAGACCCTCATTCTACAAATATTCTGCTAGGAAATTTTATTTATGGATCAAAGCCATGTACATACAACACCCACTGTGAAAACTAATAGAATAACCTCAGGCTTCATTTACTCTCTTTGATTAATGGAAATGTATTAGAGCCTCACTGAGACAGCATCATTCAAAAAGGAAGTGGACTAGTAACCCTGAACATAAAAAATATGTTTAAAGGAATCATTATTATGCATCTTATTTAATTATTAAAATTACATAACATAACTAAATATTTCCCATATATTGAATAATACAATGGAAAGTGGAGGTCAAACAGCCCAATGTCCAGTGTTTTAAAAATAATATAGCTAGCACCTCAATGAAGATGAGAACCACTACAATTTTATCATCAATTTGTTCCTGAGCAATATAAACCTCCTAGTTTTCTTCTAGTTAAATTGAAATAAAATGCATGATGAAGCATTCGTGTGCATGAATTTGTGTGTACACGTATGTGTGTGCTTGTCCCAATAACTTGCAACTACTCTATGTACTACTGGGCTACCCCTTCCTTGGCTTACAGCTATCATGCTCTTGTCTGATGTTTCAACAATGGGCTCAAACAGAAGAACAATCGTGAGGATGACAGAGGACTGGACAGTGTTTCATTCTATGGCACACAGGGCAGCTATGCACCAGAACTGACTTGACGGCACCTAACAACAACAACAATGACAACTTGTATTATTATTTTATCACAAATATATACACTTCTAAAAATGCAAGCTTAGTTTTGCTGACTTTTCACTTTCTGAAGAATGTATGATACTGTACACAGTCTAGGACTTGCTTTTTTTGTACTCAATACTACTTCAGTTGACTCCATTTTCTTATTTATTTTGTTAAAGTACTGGGGAATTTCATCTAAATTATTGTAAATTATAACCCTTATTTAAAAGTCTTGGTTACAGTTTAAGAGTATAACAATAAATATGAGAGGGAATCAGACAAAATCCAACATACATGTGGGCCTTGTCCTTTGAAAATGAAGAAGCACAACTTATTCAAAGAAAGTACATTTCTATGGGGTGCTTTCAGATTCACAGCAACCTGATATAGGGTTTCCAAGAGCAAAGAATTTTATCTTTCTCTCAGGAAGTGGCGGCTGATGGGTTTGAATCACTGACCTTACAGTGAGCAAACAGGACACATAATCACAGAACCACCAGAGATCTTTGCAACTTACCTCTAAACACTTTAAATCAAATAATAAAGTGATGTATACAAATATAAAACTTTGATCAATCCATATGCCTTTCAACTGTAAGAATTTGCTTATTAAGTATTAATATTCTCAGATTTCTATGATGAGCAAATAATACATGAAAAGGTATATATGGAAAAAATATTTAGTTGGAAGATTAGCCATTACAGTATTCAGGGGGGAGATGTAACATTTCCAAACACCAATTACAATGAAATGAAATACTGTCTTAATTGTAATAAAAACACCAAGAAACCTTCAAACCATAGGATGATCTTGGTATGACCTTTCCACCATAAAAAATATAGTTAAAACTGAAATGTTAATGAGGATTTTTCCTATGACCATAAATAGTATTAATTCCTACCATGGTCTTTAGTAATTACTTCCAGAGAGCAGATACTATTTTAGAAAGCATTCTCATTTCCAGCCTTTCTTCCAAGTGCCTACTTTGCACTTAAATCAATGTAACTTAAGAATCTTATAGTAACTGTAGTAACCACTGTAGTTATTCTTTGCAAACATTTTCTTCTTTGATTTTCTATGATTTTGCTTTCAAATATTTAGGCACAACTTATCGGGAGCCCTGGTAAACTTAGCAGGCGATGTGTTGGGTTGCGGATGGCAAGGTCAGTAGTTTGAAACCACCAGCTGCTCTGTGAGATAAAGACAAGGCTTTCTATTTCCATTAAGAGATATGGTCTCCAAAACCTCGTGGCAATTCTACCCTGTCCTGGTGGGTCACTATGAATCAGAACCAACTAGATGGCCGTGAGTTTGGTTTGGTTTTCTCAAATCAGCTTGTAGGCGATGGTACTATATTAAATAGTGCACATCGTTTGCTGCTACACTTTAAAATGCTTTGTTGTTGTTGTTAAGTAGATTGAATTTCACATTTTTACCTTTCAGTTTGCAGCCAAATGCATAACAACTATGCCCCAGGGGTCCTAAAAATATTTGGAAGCTCTATTTCATTTTATTTATATTATAATTTTTAACAATATGGTTTGCATATCGTACACTTCCATAGGCCAGTCATATTAAAGAGATTGGTACACTCATCTCTACAGTCAGTTCCAGTGCATTTTCTTCCAGCTTGTACTCATTATTAGCTCCCCATTTCCCTCCGACTCAGCCCCTGACACCTATGAGCCCCTAATCCAATTACTGTCTATAGAACTTCACCCATCTCAGTCTGCATATACTGGAAAACATACCTCAAAAAAAAGGCCAAAAATAATAATAAAATAAACCAGAGAAAAAACTGCAATTGAGAAAAAAGCAGGAAGTTTTAAAAACTATGGCTTATTTTAAATGTGTCAAAAGGGAGATCAAATTATCGGATGTCATATCTTAACCTAATTACAACTGTCATGATCATGGTTATGATATTCTCTGTCTGATAGCAAAGCTATTCACATCCATCAACTATAGTCAGAAGGAATTCATCAGAGGCTTAATCCATGTAGGGACCCTGAAAATGGACATTGGGCTCCCACTCTCATCCATTGCCTTTTGCAAATCAGTGTTCACAATTTAAGCTCTTGACACCATTCCTGCCAACATATTTGGATTCAATTATTTATCATCCTTGGATCACACTGGTTGATGTGTTTCTTCCATATGGACTTGATGTGTTTCTTCCATATGGACTTGATGTCTCCCTTAGATGGCTACTTGTTTAAAGACAAGTCTTTGACATCCCAGGTGCTATTCTATCTGATAGCCAGGAACCATGTGGTTTCTTCACCACACTTTGCTGTCACGCCCATATTTTCAATGATCTCTACATGAGAGTGAGCCCTATTTTATTTTTATAATATTGTTTAGCTTTTTCTTAGAGTTCATATTGTCAATGAATTGTCTCATTGGAGATTTCAGTGTGAGTGGGACCATCTGATCAAGAAGAATGAGTTCAGTAAGTTTAAATGGGACTCAATGAAATTGATAAGAATTGAGAATTTTGGTGAAAACTGAATTCAGTGGTAAATCTGAACCCACCTAGTCACTTAATTTCAGACCTCTGATAGGTAGAATCATATGTAGTCCACCATTAAAATATTAAGAAGGAATAACCAGAACTTTCAATGATTTCAATGAGATGATAATTTTCTAGAACCCAAAAGTTCAGCCACTTATGGATACATTTTTAATTAACTTAAAAAATAAGTTTGGGAGTTATAACGCACTCTTTTTTAAATAATAAACTCATGAAACTTCAATTTTTTTTCAATTAGTGTCTTATTGTTAAAGTTTGCCAACCTACTTATTTATTATTGTAAATCGCGGGGGGTGGGGGGGGGAGTATGCTGTAATCAGGCTCTTTGAATCCATTTATAATCCAATCATTGTAGCATCGTAAAGGTGAACATATCTTCCTTTGTCTCAGTAGAATATAGAAAAATAGACTCTGAACCAAATTATCTCAAATGAGAGATACAATAGAGGGAAGTAACTGCATTAAAGTTCCCACATAAACCACTTTGAGGCCTAAAGTGCACTTCACCCAAGCCATGCTATTTTCAGTGGATTCATCTGTGTGTGAAAGGAAGACCAAAGACGTCTATTTGAAGTACGACATTGGGGAGGAATATTGAAAGTCTCTTGGACTGCCTGAAGAACAAATAAATCTTTCTTGGAGTAAGCACAGTTTAAATGCTCCTTAGAAATTAACATGGCAAGATATCGACTCATGTTCTTTGAACAGTTTCAAGACAGACCAGTTCCTGGAAAGAGACATCATGCTTGGTACAGTAGAGGCTTGGCCAAAAGAAGATTCTCAAAAGATGACATGACACAGTGCCTGCAGAAGTAGGCTCAAACATAACCATGATGGTGAGAGTCGCACTAGACTGGGTGGTGTTTAGTTCTGTTGTACATAGGGTTTTTACAAAAGAAATTAAATTAATGGGACCTAATAACTGCAACACAAACCAATTCGCTTATAGAATGAATGAAG